ATTACATGGAGAAAAAATACTGTAGGACTAGGTCAGGAACAATTGCCATATGGATGTCAAGTCAATAATTGATTCAAATATATACTGAAATGTATATATCACCAAGTATGGAAGCAGCCCAAAAGATTAAGTGACCAAATGAAGGTCTGTTAGCACATCACAACAGATTGAATAGGCTGGGAACTAAAGAAATTAAGTGTTAAATTTAACCTAATATTTTTTTGCTGTGGTACAGCTTCCTAAAGTTTAGGATCTAAGGAATTATATTAAATATTTGTAAAATTTAGCTGTATGTGAAGGATCATAGGTGGTGTTATCTAAATCAAATATGTGTAGAAGTGCAATCCAAATAAAATGAATATTTTTATTAATATGAACACTTGCATAATTTTCTGCCTTAGGTTGGGCAAGAAACAATCTGTAACAGAAACTTATGTATTTATCTTGGAGTGTTTATATATCACAGTGTATCAAAATAGATTTAAGTAGTTTGACCAAGTAAGGATATAAGAATTGAATTAACAAAATAAAAACAAGCTGACAGCAGATCCAAGATGAAATAATACTGAAAAAATGTGAGATATGGTAACAACAGTTTACTCTGGCATCTAAAAGTCCATAATTTTTACCAGTTTTTTTAAGGGCCTTACATGAATTATAAATTTATTTATTCTGTGATACCAACCAGCTATTCTTGAAAGGACAGATGCTTTTTCCACTTGTGGTATGAGAAATGAATAGAAATTGCAGTCTTGACAATGAGTTTTGGTGAGAGATAGGTAGTTTTTATATCACTTTCAGAGTTCAGTTATCAGGATGGGGGATTCTAACTGTCAAAATAAATTAAACTGTACAGTGCAGTTAGAGTTAGCAAAATATACCAGGTTGAAATAGTTTGCTGAATGAGACAGCCTTTTTTATATGGGCAGCTTGAATATATGAAGGGGAATAAAAAGAAACATGGGTAGAAGATACATAATCTTTTGTTATAGTACAAAATGTGTTTGGATGGAAATTACTCAGGATAAATAAAGGCACTGCATGTACGATCAGCAAATATGCATTAATTACTTTCCACCTTTTAAAGGCTTACATGGGATAAATGTCTTATTTGATTAAAATTCTACAGAAATGCAGACCCAAAGTAGTTCTATGGCAATGTGTTTAAATTAAGCGTACATAATTATTCAGGTTTTGACTAGGAAAATAAATATGCTTGTTTTAAAAAATGTTTTTAAAATTATCTAAGTGAAATATTCTCTGTGAGATCAAGCTGCATAATTTAAAATATTCTGTTCTGCTGTAATAGCATGTTGCCTCAGGAAACTGGAAGAGATATCCAAAATATTACAATTCACGATATGGTACAAAGCCTCCCTATGACAGTAATTATTGAGCTGGATGACCCACCATGCTAAGCTCTGTTTTCTGAATAAATGACAACTGGCTGGTTTTGTACAACATGATAAACCATAAGCCATAATAGCTTGGTTCACAAATAAGCAAAGTACATCTTATTTTAATATGATTTGTGAACCCAGGCTCAGTTTAGCAAAAAACAATAAAGTACTGATGCTTTATCGCTACGTAGATGAAATAGAAAATGGAAATAAAAGGGTATCACTTATTCAGTTAGGGCAGCTAGGGTGCACTTGGTATTGTTGAACTATAGTTCCTAGTTATCTTGGCTAACAGTGAAATATGTAGTGAGTTCAATAGCTTTTGGATGTTGACAGGGTTTCCACGTCTACTTATGATCCTGTTGCAACCACTTCTGTAGATTAGAACAGTCAGTTCTTATATTTTGTCCTCTGGTTGCATAATAAGATGAGCGAAGGAAGGCATGGCTTTTGGAATTCTTTCCAACCCCTTAAAAATAGCTCTGCTATGGGTTACATGACCAGGAGAGAGCTGGGAGGGTGGCTCAGATTAGAGCAGCCACATTCTGAGCCAATATTTTTGGCTTAGATTGGAACAGTTGCGGATCTTTTCTCTCTGCAGCTTTTAGCTGGATTCAGCTCTTTGAGATCTTTGTTTCGCTGGTTTCTCCCTCTGGAAAAATTGGCTTCTCTTCTATTTTTCAGTAAAAATGAATTTAATAATTTATTTTGATTTATAATTAATTATATAAAATAAAAATATTGTTTTAAAAATAAAAACATCTTTTATTTTTATGTTTTACTTTTTTTATTGTAATTTCTTTGTTTGATTGTTGTGAGCTGCCCAGAGTTGTTGAGAGTTGGGCGGCATACAAGTTTAAATAATAGTAATAATTGTTATTCTAAAGTTATCTGGCAGATGGTACCCTTCCCCTCCCCCCTTTACATAATTTCTTTCCAGTATTCCATTGGGTTGAAAGGAATTGAAAGATTTGCCGTATAGGCTATTGAATTTCCAATGGCTGGGCAATCATTTCATAGCTTTATAAAAATATAGTTACTGAAATCGGATATGAGAATTATGGCCTAGCACTTCCGCCAACTCTGCTGCTGGAGCTTAGCTTCCTTTAAACTAGCCTCCCTTTGTATCTCAGCTGGGAAAATCTGGCTTAATGTTGATTAATGAAGAAATCAAGGAACTTGGTTGGTTCCTTGATCAAGGAACAGTTGGTTCTTAGTGTTGCCAGTTGAAATACTGTGTATTGTGACTTCATTTTATATTAATGTTTTTTTTTCTGGAAAAAAATGATACAACAGGAAACTGGGATTATAAATGAAAAATGATGCTGTCTGGTGCCCTTGTAAAATGTTGTGAATGTGGTATGCCAATTGCACTATCAACATCTAATCTA